CCGCAGGTTGTTTGAAAAGACAAACACTATTCGTTAGAATTGTGTTTTTCTATTGAAAAACAACCGGAGCGGTCGTTGTCCGGGCTATGTTTTGCAAGTCTGGCCGCGAATTGGGGCAACTTGGGTGGGGCCTAGACGAAATGTACAATCTTCGTAAAAAGTTCAGTGTATGGGCTCCCGGAGGCGATCTACCTGATGGCACCGGTCGCTACTCGCTTAAAACCTCGTGGCACGTGGCACGTGCGATTCCATTTTCCCCATGTTAAGTCAACGGGGTTTTGGACACTTTTTGCGCCATCGGGAATGGCGGAAAAACGAGCCAAGAAAGGGGTGGTTTTCATCCCAGCATTTTATGGCAAACACGTTTGGGTACACGCTAGTGTGCGCTGTATACCCCTCAGAATCTCGGAACGTGTCTTTGCACGAGGTCAAAGTTGGAATTTTGCTGTGTCCCATGTTAAGTCAATGGACGGCGATGTCGAGACTTTGCAGAGACATTTTCATTCGATCTTTGTACAAAATTTTAGAGATAGATTTCGCCCAAACTCTTATATCTTGTAGAGGAAAGAGCATAGTACTTGCTGGTATGCTTCGTTAAGGTGACAAAACTCATTTTTTCTTTTAAAGTTAATTTGAAATTTAAAATTTCTAACATGGAAAGGCAATGGGAGCGTCTTTATTCCTCTATAACTTTTATCTTTAGTAAGATATATAGGTGAAAAGTTAATATAATATACAACTTTTGATGCTCTTTCCACTGATGCATAGGACGTCACTGCACGATGTGCCGTATTTAAGAAAAGCTGTAAAAAATCAGGGCTCGACTGTGACTTGAACCCAACCACATTAGAGTATACGAACAGGTGACGGGGATACCTCCCGTGTGCGGATGCGACACTGATTATTGCTAAACATTAGCATTCGGCCGCCTTGGGGGCGCCTTACAAAGCTTCTATCTCCACAACTACTTGACCAATTCACTCGCGGTCTTTTGTGTGGGATAGCTTCTTCCTTTCTTACACGTAGTGTGCTATTCTCGATGCGTATGGGTGACCCCTAATGCACGTGCCACGTGCAAAACGATGAGAAGTCAGTTCAGTAACAAGTCTAATAACTCTGTAGTTAGTTTGCCGATTACGCTGGTACTTTGCATGGATGTTGGCACGCACCCGGCAATGCATTTCCATGTGTCACGGTTGGGGTGCCACTGCACGTGCGCACGGGCAGGGTGACGCTTCCAGATCTCGAGAACGGCTGGGCCGATTGTGATCAAACTTGGCACACCGCTAGAGGCTGGTTAGTAGGGTGCCGTGCACAAGTCAGATGGGACCCGTTATGCACGTGCGCACGTGCAGGCTGACGCTTCCAGATCTCAAGAACGGCTGGGCCGACTGTGCTCAAAATTGGCATACCGCTAGAGACTGGTTAGTAGTGTGCCGTGCACAAGTCAGTTAGTATGTATTTTCATGTGCCACGGTTGGGGTGCAGCTGCACGTGCGCACGGGTAGGGGTCGTTTCCCTATCTTGGAAACGGCTGGGCGGATTCAGATTAAATTTGGTACATCGCTAGAAACCGGCGAATAGAGTGCCGTGCACAAGTCAATTGGGGCCCAGGCTGCACGTGCGCACCTGCAGGATGTCACTTCCAGATCTCGAAAACGGCCGGGTCGATTGCACTCAAATTTGGCACACCGCTATCAGTTGGTGACATACCAGGGAAATAAGCTAAAATTAGAGCGCTCTATTTATTGCTCCTGCCCCATGTTGAAGAGATACCCCTAAAAGCGTGATCTTTTATCGGCCCTTACGCAGCAAGGCAGTAATTCTCAGACCGGTGGATGGTATCAATAGAAAGAGAATGCGTCAAAGATTAACATGAATTAATTAAAATAACATTAAAATGTTAATTAAGCGTGGAAATTAGTCCCAAACATAAGCTAATTATTGCTCCTACCTCGGCGACGGCGCTCCCCGCAGTCGGCGGAGAAGCTAAAATAAAAGCCACCATCCTCCTCCGTAAGTCAATTTTAGAGCGGCCGAGTAGGCCGATGCGGGGCCACCAAACTGAGGTGAGACGTGGCTAGTAATTGCAAACCGCCATAGAAATCAATATCTTAAGACGTACAATATGGGATGATTACTCTGAAGCTGGAGTGAAAGCATGAGTAGATTGCAAGAAACGAAATGCATAGATTGGTTGAATTATGTACAATAGGCACAGCTCAGATGAAGCCATTTCTATGATGTTGACATATGACATAACCCTTCCTCTCCTCACCTATGATTTAAGTGCATTGGCAGTTACCGGCATAGTTTTTGAGCACGAGTGTAATTCGCCATCGGACCGCAATACATGTTGCTAGGCTGCTGCCATTACAACGAACATACGAATACTGCCTTCATTTGTAGACGTTTGTTTTTTTAGGCGGTCTTTGACGTGCAAGGGGGCATACCTGTCGACAACTTGAGTTTCTCCGAATTTCAAAAACTCCCAGAATTTCAATTCCTTATGCACTGTAGGTACAGCTATGTTCACAAGTTTTCGTTTCCTCCTGTTCTAAAAAGGATGATATTTGTCGATTTCGTGCGTCGCTGATAGGAGGGTGCGTTTAATAATTAGGCCCAACGCTTTCTGCATCCGCGAGTTCCTTCAAAAGGGAACAACAGTTTCCATTTATTACACTATGGGACATGTGACAAAATGACCACTGGAACACGCATGAAACGGAGCTCATATTCCTAAAAATGTCTACAATCATTTCTTTTCTGACACTATTAGCAAATACCATCTCAAGTTAGGTGGTTGACAGACAGTCAATGGAGATCTGGGGAGACTGAGTGATGCCAATTCACCACTTAACTGATAATGAGGGCCGAGGGAAGAGAAACATGCAACATGCACAACTGACAACTTGACAAGTGACAAAACACTACCACTATTGCGCAGTGCACAACAAATTACAGCAGCCAGCCCAAAAAATGATTTTGGTGGCTAATTGCAAAACAAGTCACTAATAAATGTCTTAGTTGCAGCTGAAATCACACTGTTCACACATTGAGTGAGATGCCACAGGTGGTTTGAATCACACTTTGGTTCAACTGCAAATCTGAAGTGTTGTCATGAGGTTCATGCCTCCATGATCACAGCACTTTGGTTGTGGTTGGCAAAACACTTGTAGTCTGCAGAGTTCCACATGAACTGCAGACACCTCATCTGGTGGTCTTCATGTTGCTCAACTTCTTCAGGAGGCAAATGTCGACCACCCAGCGGAAGCATGGTCCTGCAGAAAAGGAAGGTAATGCATAAGGTACAAACATTATCTGCTGAAACAGCTCCTTCTGTTGGCTGTTATTAAACTTTTAACTTAGGTAACATAACAACATGTATTCCATGTATATTACATTTGTTGAAGTAAAATACTGCCCGCTATTTCAAAACCAGAAAATGAAATTATATTGTGGCATAATTCACCTGCTCAGCTATCAGTATCAAATAATAATTAATTTAATATTTGGCATATTCCATATAACACATTCATAGAATATTCTACTTCACGTCACAAGGACTCACAATCTTTCTGTTGGGTGTTTGATTGACGCATTAACTAAGTTTGTCTTAGGTTTTATTATTGCAAAAAATTCATATTGCATTATTGTATCAAAATAATGCCAGCAATAACAAAACAAGAACATGAAATGCCAATGAGCAAGCCGCCTTTCCTTGAAATGGATTACTTTGAAAGGAATTTTAGTTTATTTTAAGGAAAAGGAGAAATGATTATCAGGTAATTATCAGAAAACCACTCAACCAGCAAGTGGCTGGGTGGTTTCACAGCAAACATCAAGCCAAAACATAACTTACATCTATCTAACAATTGAGCCATTTGACTACTACAAGGATATGTGAGCAAAATAAGAATCCAATTATCCAATGTTGACTTCCTTGCAAAGTTTATGCCTTATTTTATGAAAATGTGTCACTAGAATATGATACTTATCATCGAATATTATTTAATTTACGATTTATTTCGATCGGAATGCACATGGAGTCCCGCGCCATTTTCGTCGACGATGAATATGATCGTGTTTCATGAAGAGATAAGGGGTTTCAATGGTCTTTCAAAGCAATAATTTGAAGCAAAAATTTGTAGGAAATAATATGAAGCTGGTTCAAATGGCCATCAACCATTTAAAACACCGAAAATACTCACAGCTCCGTCCCGACGACCACGCAGCACCGCGCACGCCACACTACTGGCACAATGCCAAAACTGCTGTCACAGCGGAAATGATTTTTTTTTCTCGATTGCAATTGTGGAATTATTTATTAAACAGAAGATGATCTTTCCGAAAAACCGACTGATTTCATACACAGATGCATGGAAAATAAAAAATCCCGGTAAGTTTATTTGTATTGTTTTGTCGATTTTGACATGCTCCTAGTTTGCAGCCATATTTCGATATGTTCTACAGGGAGTTCAGAATTATTTCAGGACCAATCTTTTCCTCATTCATTTTCCCGTCAATCATGAAATTTTTAGAGCGGAACAATTGGTTTCCAGGCGGTCCGAGCGGTTTTTGTGAGAAGGGTGCAAAAATCGGCGTCATTTTTAGAGCCTCGACACCAGCTCAACACAGGACCCTATGGGAGACGGTGAAGTAGCGGGAGCAATAAATAGAGTGCTCTAATTTTAGCTTATTTCCCTGGTGTGTCACCGACTGCTATAGACCGACGAATAGGGTGCCGTGCACGTCCGTCCGTAGCACACCGACTCCGGTCTGCACGTGCAAGACTCATCCTCTCGTTTGGCGGCGGGCGTTTTTGCTGCGTTTACAAAGGTGCTTGCTCAAACAACCTGCGGTCCCGCGATGCGGAGCCCAGCATCGCAGATGCTGGTATGTGGAGACTGGTGAGACTGGTGACTTTCTGTGGTGTCGTATGATGGTGCCCAATCGCAACTGTATTGTGTGTGACGGTTCACACCTTTATCTGCTTGCAGGCAACTGGAGGAGGTGGACCGAAGTCTTGCCAAGCTGGAGTCGGCCGCCATTCAGCTGGACTCGTACTCCAAACAGCTGGAGAATCGGTGTCGAGCGCTGGGATCGCGGTGAACAGTGCATGGTGGTACAGCATGATGTCGATGAAGTATACGGGGGACTGAGGGTAGACATGTGGATGCCAGTGTTGCGTGCTCAGGACAGCGTCTCTGCACATTTTTAGTGGACATTCTGATGAAGACATTATAATAGTTTCCATAAAAAGTGAAATTGGTATTGGCACTGGCTTCAAAAGTTACTCACCGAAAATTTACCGGCAGATTCAAGGTAGGACATCGACTTAATATTGAAATAAGGTTTGCCATGTTGACATTGTATCAAAATGTAGGCTGGCGACTGATGAGTGTCCTCTGAGTTTACATTCGAAGTGTGTAACCGCAGGTTGTTTGAAAAGACAAACACTATTCGTTAGAATTGTGTTTTTCTATTGAAAAACAACCGGAGCGGTCGTTGTCCGGGCTATGTTTTGCAAGTCTGGCAGCGAATTGGGGCAACTTGGTAGGGGCCTAGACGAAATGTACAATCTTCGTAAAAAGTTCAGTGTATGGGCTCTCGGAGGCGATCTACCTGATGGCACCGGTCGCTACTCGCTAAGAAGTCTTTTGCGCGTGGCGCGTGCGTTTGAATTTTCGCCCATGTTAAGTCAATGGGGGTTTGGGGGTCTTTTTGCGCCATCGGGAATGGCGGAAAAACGAGCCAAGAAAGGGGTGGTTTTCATCCCAGCATTTTATGGCAAACACGTTCCGGTACACGCCAGTGTGCGCCGTATACCCGTCAGAATCTCGGAACGTGTCTTTGCACGCGATTAAAGTTGGAATTTTGCTGTGTCCCATGTTAAGTCAATGGACGGCGATGTCGAGACTTTGCAGAGACATTTTCATTCGATCTTTGTGCAAAATTTTAGAGATAGATTTCGCCCAAACTCTTATATCTTGTAGAGGAAAGAGCATAGTACATGCCGTTATGTTTCGTTAAGCTGGCAAAACTCATTTTTTCTTATAAAGTTCATTTGAAAATTAAAATTTTTAACATGGAAAGTCAATGGGAGCGTCTTTGTTGCTTAATAACTTTTTACGTTGCAGATGTATCAAAGTGAAAAGTTAATAAAATATACAACTTTCGATGCTCTTTCCAACAATGTATAGAACGTCACCGCACGATGTGCCGTTTTTAAGAAAAGCTGTAAAAAAGCAGGGCTCGACTGTGACTTGAACCCAACCACATTAGAATATACGAACAGGTGAAGGGGACACCTCCCATGTGTGGACGCGACACCGATTATTGCTAATTATTAGCAGTCGGTCGCCGTGGGGGCGCCTTTACAAACCTTATGTCTCTGCAACCGCTTGACCGATTCACTTGCGGTCTTTTGTGTGGGATGGTTTCTTCCTTTCCCAAACGTAGTGTGCTACTCTCGATGCGTATGGGTGACCCCTAATGCACGTGCCACGTGCAAAACGAAGAGGTGTCCGTTCGGTAACAAGTCGAATAACTCTGTAGTTAGTTTGCCGATTGCACTGATACTTGGCATGGATGTAGGCACCCGCCGTGCAATGCATTTCCATGTGTCACGGTTGGGGTGCCGCTGCACGTGCGCACGGGCAGGGTGACGCTTCCAGATCTCGAGAACGGCTGGGCCGATTGTGATCAAATTTGGCACACCGTTAGGGATCGGCGAGTAGGGTGCCGTGCACAAGTCAGATGGGGCCCAGTTTGCACGTGCGCACGTGCGGGCTGACGCTTCCATATCTCAAGAACGGCTGGACCGACTGTGCTCAAATTTGGCATACCACTAGAGACTGGTTAGTAGGGTGCCGTGCACAAGTCAGTAAGTATGTATTTTCATGTGCCACGGTTGGGGTACAACTGCACGTGCGCACGTGTAGGGGTCGTTTCCAGATCTTGGAAACGGCTGGGCCGAATGCGATTTAATTTGGTACACCGCTAGAGACCGGCGAATAGAGTGCCGTGCACAAGTCAGTTGGGACCCAGCTTGCACGTGCGCACGTGCAGGGTGCCGCTTCAAGATCTCGAAAACGGCCGGGCCGATTGCACCCAAATTTTGCACACCGCTCTAGACGGGCGAATAGGGTGCCGTGCACGTCAGTTTTTAGCACACCCACTCCGGTCTGCACGTGCAAGGCTCATCCTCTCGTTTGGCGGGTGGTAACCGCAGGTTGTTTGAAAAGACAAACACTATTCGTTAGAATTGTGTTTTTCTATTGAAAAACAACCGGAGCGGTCGTTCTCCGGGCTATGTTTTGCAAGTCTGGCAGCGAATTGGGGCAACTTGATTGGGGCCTAGACGAAATGTACAATCTTCGTAAAAAGTTCAGTGTATGGGCTCCCGGAGGCGATCTACCTTATGGCACCGGTCGCTACTCGCTTAAAACCTCGTGGCACGTGGCACGTGCCATTCCATTTTTCCCATGTTAAGTCAATGGGGGTTTGGGGCACTTTTTGCGCCATCGGGAATGGCGGAAAAACGAGCCAAGAAAGGGGTGGTTTTCTTCCCAGCATTTTATGGCAAACACGTTCCGGTACACGCTAGTGTGCGCCGTATACCCCTCAGAATCTCGGAACGTGTCTTTGCACGAGGTCAAAGTTGGAATTTTGCTGTGTCCCATGTTAAGTCAATGGACGGCGATGTCGAGACTTTGCAGAGACATTTTCATTCGATCTTTGTACAAAATTTTAGAGATAGATTTCGCCCAAACTCTTATATCTTGTAGAGGAAAGAGCATAGTACATGCCGTTATGCTTCGTTAAGCTGGCAAAACTCATTTTTTCTTTTAAAGTTAATTTGAAATTTAAAATTTTTAACATGGAAAGTCAATGGGAGCGTCTTTATTCCTCTATAACTTTTATCTTTAGTAAGATATATAGGTGAAAAGTTAATATAATATACAACTTTTGATGCTCTTTCCACTGATGCATTGGACGTCACTGCACGATGTGCCGTTTTTAAGAAAAGCTGTAAAAAATCAGGGCTCGACTGTGACTTGAACCCAACCACATTAGAGTATACGAACAGGTGACGGGGATACCTCCCGTGTGCGGATGCGACACTGATTATTGCTAAATATTAGCATTCGGCCGCCTTGGGGGCGCCTTGCAAAGCTTCTATCTCCACAACTACTTGACCAATTCACTCGCGGTCTTTTGTGTGGGATAGCTTCTTCCTTTCTAAAGGCCGCCGTCCACTGCGACGGAATTCCGTCCGGAGTCCGTCCGGAATGTCGCCGCACGCTGGCCGCATCCGGTCCGGATGCGGTCCGGATGCGGTCCGGATGCGGAGAGCTAATAAATGTTTCCTATCACTTATTACCAAATAAAATATTGCAAGTAACCAGCAGCGAATACTCTTGCCATTCTAAGGAAATAATTTTTACTTTCTTCATGATGATCGAGTTCCAATTCTTCGTACAATTCACAATGTTTGCCTCCGATACGGCCCCAAACCACGTCTGTTCCGGACGTTCCGGTTGCGGAAAAGTTCAACGCGTCGAACATCACTCTTCCGTCTCCGTAGCAACCGCATCCGAAACGCATGCGGAGAGCTGACGGAAAATCAACAGCTGATTGCCGTTCGGATGCGGTCCGGACGGAGCGCACACGATTTCCGTACGGACCGGATGCGCCCATAGGGTTCTGTGTTAAATTCCGTACGGACCGCACGCGTTCCGCACAGTGGACGGCGGCCTTTACACGTAGTGTGCTATTCTCGATGCGTATGGGTGACCACTAATGCACGTGCCACGTGCAAAACGATGAGAAGTCAGTTCAGTAACAAGTCTAATAACTCTGTAGTTAGTTTGCCGATTGCGCTGGTACTTTGCATGGATGTTGGCACGCACCCGGCAATGCATTTCCATGTGTCACGGTTGGGGTGCCGCTGCACGTGCGCACGGGCAGGGTGACGCTTCCAGATCTCGAGAACGGCTGGGCCGATTGTGATCAAACTTGGCACACCGCTAGAGGCTGGTTAGTAGGGTGCCGTGCACAAGTCAGATGGGACCCGTTATGCACGTGCGCACGTGCAGGCTGACGCTTCCAGATCTCAAGAACGGCTGGGCCGACTGTGCTCAAAATTGGCATACCGCTAGAGACTGGTTAGTAGTGTGCCGTGCACAAGTCAGTTAGTATGTATTTTCATGTGCCACGGTTGGGGTGCAGCTGCACGTGCGCACGGGTAGGGGTCGTTTCCCGATCTTGGAAACGGCTGGGCCGATTCAGATTAAATTTGGTACATCGCTAGGAACCGGCGAATAGAGTGCCGTACACAAGTCAATTGGGACCCAGGTTGCACGTGCGCACGTGCAGGGTGTCACTTCCAGATCTCGAAAACGGCCGGGTCGATTGCACTCAAATTTGGCAAACCGCTAGAGACCGGTTAGTAGAGTGCAGTGCACGTCAGTTCGTGACACACCCGCTCCGGGCTGCACGTGCAAGGCTCATCCTCTCGTTTGGCGGCGGGCGTTTTTGCGGCGTTACAGAGGTGCTTGCTCAAACAACCTGCGGTCCCGCGATGCGGAGCCCAGCATCGCAGATGCTGGTATAACCGCAGGTTGTTTGAAAAGACAAACACTATTCGTTAGAATTGTGTTTTTCTATTGAAAAACAACCGGAGCGGTCGTTGTCCGGGCTATGTTTTGCAAGTCTGGCCGCGAATTGGGGCAACTTGAGCGGGGCCTAGACGAATCGCTCAATCTTCGTAAAAAGTTCAGGGTATGGGCTCCCGGAGGCGATCTACCTGATGGCACCGGTCGCTACTCGCTAAGAAGTCTTTTGCGCGTGGCACGTGCGATTCCATTTTCCCCATGTTAAGTGAACGGGGTTTTGGACACTTTTTGCGCGATCGCTAATAGCGGGGAAACGAGCCAAGAAGGAGGTGGTTTTCTTCCCAGCATTTTATGGCAAACACGTTTGGGTACACGCCCGTGTGCGCTGTATACCCGCCAGAATCTCGTGGCACGTGGCACGTGCGATTCCATTTTCCCCATGTTAAGTGAACGGGGTTTTGGACACTTTTTGCGCGATCGCCAATGGCGGGAAAACGAGCCAAGGAAGAGGTGGTTTTCTTCCCAGCATTTTATGGCAAACACGTTTGGGTACACGCCAGTGTGCGCTGTATACCCCTCAGAATCTCGGAACGTGTCTTTGCACGAGATCAAAGTTGGAATTTTGCTATGTCCCATGTTAAGTCAATGGACGGCGATGCCGAGACTTTGCAGAGACATTTTCATTCGTTCATTGTACAAAATTTTAGAGATAGAATTTGCCCAAACTCTTATAGCTTGTACAGGAAAGAGCGTAGTACATGCTGGTATGCTTCGTTAAGCTGGCAGAAATCGTTTTTTCTAATAAAGTTC